GAGAGGGCTTCCTCTCTTCCTTGATCTTGTAATTTTTGTGCAAGATTTAAGTCTCTTAAGCTGCTTCTATTTTAAGCATATTTTAGTATATGTCTTAAAGGATTAAGAACAACTTAATACAAGTGTTTACTAGCATATTTTGGTGGTTCAACTCTTGCTTGGTGGATACATTATAGACAGCTTAATTTAGAGCTTAAAGTTATCTTTATCAACTTCCTAATTGCCAAAACGAACCAAAGTCTTCAAAGGTTGTTATACTTTCTTCTTCCTCTTTGTTTATGTTTAATCTTTCAAAGTTCTTGCAAAATGATCATTGGTGGGTATAAAATGGTTTTAGTTTATTGAAAAAAAATGCTTCCGTTGTTAATTACGTCAATTTTTTAGACTAAAATTGGACTATTTCTTAATAAAAACCCAATACTAATTAACCGAATCAAGAGACAAAACCAATCCATCCTCAAACCCATGAATATATCGATGAAGAACCCCAAAAATGTGGCGCAACCATCAAAAATTCGTACAAAACAATAAAATCAAGAAAATAGGCCGAAAAAAAGAATAAGTGGTATTGGCAATGGAATATATAACCGTTCTTAGGACACAATATCAAAAAAGAGTGGACTCATTTTGGTAGCAAGTAACTAAATTTTCAAAATGAAAATGCATGGTTTGGATTATAGTGTGAAGCAAGTAAACTCCAACGAAAATAATTTTCAGGAAAAACTCAACAAGTTTAATTGCATCTACAATAAAAAAGAAGAACAATCTTTCATCGTGAAAGAAAAAGAATGGAATTAGATATTTCGTAAAAGTACACTCGAAATGGATAAGTATGTATTTAACGGGTAAGAATCACATCCTTCATCTAAAAGGACCAAAATATTTGAGTCCAACACATACACAACGTCTTCAGATGTGCAATTTCCATGTAAACCCAACGTAGAGGTTGGAGAGTTTAATGTTGAAGAACTACAAAGGCAACAATGAAAAGAGAAGAAATATGTATCGTCATCCTCAGATCCACATCAGGATAATATAATAATATGACGAAACTCATTATTGAAATAACTTATCAACTTACCAATTTAAATAAATAAGATGTTGATGACAAAAATAAATGGTATTGAGTGCATGATATGTGAATCATGGAACTATAGTTGCAAAAGTAAGTGGAAATATTGGACTAGGAGTTACGTATAATAAAGGAAAAACAAATGGAAAAGGATTTACGGTTCTTTCTACAACCGGATGACCCTTTGGGGGATGTTGAATATATTTTTTTCTTACAAGCGGGAAGTAGCATCGATTTATGGTTGAGAGTTGTAGAATTTCTCATTTTATTTTAATTATGGTTTTAGGATATTAATTATTGTTTGTAGCGGTATGTGTTTTAATGAAATGTTATTTTTAATTTAGTTTTATTTTTTAGTTTAAATTTTAAATATTTTAAATTTAAAAAATATGGGTTCGGAGGGTTTCATCTCCACCTTTTTATGGTTGGGAGGTTGAAAGTGAGAGGAAAAAGGAAAGCTGATGTGACACATATGTGTCATCATGAGGGAAAGGATTGGGAGTTCCATTCTCACCACCCTAAGCTCCAATGTCATCTTCTTTATTTAATTTAGGGAAAATGACATAGCGGCGCTACTATGTATTTTGACTTTGCCATTTTATTCCCTAAAGTTTTTTCATGCCTTTTAAGGGAACAAACTGTTTTTTTTCGCGTCGATTTGGTCCTTTTGTAAGATTTGAAGAGGTCAGCCGGTAACATCCTTGCCACAACATATAAAATTTCCACTTGTAGCGGCTAACTGTGTTTAGTTAGGGTTTTTAATGAGGTACTGACAACATTTCACCCACTCTCTCCGTCTTCATCAACTCTCTCCATCTACTGCATCCATTTCCACTCATCCAATTTCGTGCTTCAACCATGGCTATCTACATCGTTGTCGATGTGTATTTTCAAGGAATCTTTGAAAGGTACCCCATACGATACAACGATGGTACTATGCAGAGATTACAGAGCACTGATTTCGTAGGCATGGACAAGAACGAGTGCTACACGTTCATGGAAAGATTCACATGAGAAAAATGTGATAAGCTTTATTATTGTCTTCCTGATATCGATTTTCCAAAATGTTTGAGGTTAATTAGGAATGAACTTGATTATTCCACTTTTATATCCATTGGGTATGAATGGGGTGTCATACTCCCACTATATGTAGACCATTTTGGTACTACTAACATACATGAGTGGTTGGATGAAGAAAGAGAGGTAGTGGTTGATACTATCCATGGAGAAGTTGTTGATGATGCCTAGGATGATGGTGAAACATATGAAATAGGGAATACAGATGATAATGACAACCCTCATTTTTTTCAAAAAGGATAATGACCTAGACTGTGAGACGAGTGAAAATATAGGTGAAGGTGAACCTATTAATGCTGACATGGGGGAGAATGAAGATGATGAGGCTGATGTTGATACTGATTTGCTAAATATTTTCAATGAATAGCAACCCTGGAAGGAGCAGCAACCTGTGTTAGATATGAGTTTTGAGAATCCTAAACAACTCAAACACATGTTATGTAATTATGCAGTTGCTAATGGTTATCAACTATGCTTTAAGAAAAATGATAGTAGAAGGTTGTTAGTTAAATGTTGTGACGGAAACTTACATTTAAGCTTTAGGGGTCGATGAGTGATGATAAGTCTTTCCAGATCAAGTCTATGATAACTGACCATAATTGTTCTAGAAATTTCAAATTTGGGTCAGTTGTCACTTACAGATGGATATGAAGCCATTTCACCCAAGAATTTGTAAACAATCAGAAGATGAGTGTTAGGCTGCTTAGATCAAATACATGTTCAACTATGTTTAAAGGTACAATTACAGTAGGAGAGCCAAGAAATTTACTTTTACTCTAGTTAAAGGTACAATTACAGACAACTATGTCACGCTATGGTCATATGGTGAGGAGATTAAAAGATCAAATACATGTTCAACTAAATTTTTTTTTGTTGATTCAATGCCTGATGGTAAAAATTACTTTAGTAGGATTGACATATGTTTTCAGGGAGTGAAAGAGGGTTGGAAGGGATGATGTAGAAGGACAATTAGCCTTGATGGTTTTTTTCTAAAAAGTTATTACCAGGGTGAGCTACTTTGTGTCGTGGGTAAGGATGCTAACAATAGCATATTCCTAATTGCTTGGGCTGTTGTATGTATAGAGACCAAAGACAATTTGAAGTGGTTTATTGGTAATCTTCCAGAAGACTTTAACCTTCAACATCAAGGATTTGGGGTTGTGCTAATATTTGATCAACACAAGGTATGGTACTTTTTTGTTAATGTGTTACAATATATGGTATGTCCTTCTAAATTTTTATATCATTCAATATATTTAGGGATTGGTTATGTACACTCATTTGTAGCATTATCATTATTAAACACTACACATTATCAGGCATATGTTGACAAAATGTACTTTGCAGCATTATAGCATAATACTTACAAAGACCCCATACATGGGATGAATGGAATGAACATGTGGTCATCTACAGAAAACATCCCTCCTTTGCACCCAATTAAAAGAAGAATGCTTGGCAGACCTACTATGAAGAGAAAAAAGAGATGGTTCAAAAAGGACTGACAGACACACTGTATCAGAGGTTGGGAAATATGTATGTTGTGGCATATGCAAATAGAAAGGACACAACAAGACCAATTGTCCTCATGCTGAAAGGGCTCGTAAAACTAATGTTAGGAAAACACAATGTGTGAGACAAACAAGAGTCAGTGAACATGGAAAGAGGTGGGTAAGATGTTGCCATGGGTGATGCTGGTGATCAAAATGTCAGGGTTAAAGAGCATAAAGTGCAATTTGGTAAAATGGAAAAACCAAGGAAGAGGAATAAGTCTGAAAGAATCCTTAAAATGAAGTTGGGAAAAAATTGAAGGTGAAGGTAGAAGTGCATCAAAGCCTATGAATGTGGATTAGAGTGGGTGTAGTGTATGGGGAGGGGTATTTATGTAATTTCCTTTGCTTTTAATGGAATATGTTGAAAGGTTGTTATAGAAAAGGGTGTTTATGTAACTTGTATTGCTTTTTAAATGTTTATTTGAGACGTTGGTAAAAATACTTTCCTTAATTTCCCCTTCAGTTATCAATCAAGAATAAGTGCATGGCATAGTTGTAGTCCCTATGGGTTTTATTTCCATATTTGGCCTTACCAATATTGCCCCACGTATGATATTGAATATAATTCCTTTTAATAAGAAACAAAAAAATATATTCCTTATGTTTATTCCTGTTTTTGGTAACTTTCTAGCCATAAAAAAGTGCTTACTTTATTCAGTTATTAGTATCTGCAAGTCATGGGGATTGAGGGGTCTGATGTCCCAATGTGGCATATAAAACTAAACTTTTTTCCTTAAACCTTTACAGCATGTGGTCATATAAAACAAAACGTTTTTTCCTTAAAACATTACAACATGTGGTCCCAAATCTGTATCTAGAACATGATTTTTTTCCTTTAAATAGAGCAACAGACATGAACAAGTTCTACCAGTGGGTCCTACAACATGCGTTGACATGTACTCAAATAAAGGGAAAATGTGTATATAGCCATAATATTCATTTGCATTCATCTGGGTTTTGTATCCTTTCAAGTACATAATCCTACATAATATCATTCACAATGTTGTTTCTAGATATTGAAAAAGACATCCAAAAGAGTGGCTTCCATATTTGGCAACCACATATAACACAATATCTACCTTACCAAAACTAGCAAACCATAACTACACTACCGACTCCAAAACACTAAGACTTAACACCCAAAAACCAAAACCCAAACAAAGTAAAGTAACTACACGTCATCAGAACCACTTATAAGTTGTCACCACTCCCACAACAACGGTCACTCTGAATAAACTTGTGAAAGCAAACATCTTCTTTATCTTAGCTATGTCAGTCGATGCCCTTCCATATTCTGGCTATAGTGAATAAAAATGGTTCCTCGGGCCGTCGGTCAAATGGGACAACTCCAACAGCCCTGCCCTTATATCATCGACCTCACAATTCATGGAATCCATCTCTCGGTGAAGACTTTCCCTGAGCTGACTCTGGTCCATATTGACATCTTCCCTCATAAGGGAAACCTCAAACTGAAGTTGTAGAAGAGTGATATGGATGTCATGTGGGTCGCCTGCAATGGAGACGTTCGCTATTATGTGATGCTGATCTTCGAAGGGCCAGCTATTGCACGTCGACGTATAAGAAGGCATGTTTGTCTTACTTAGGGTACGACATGATTTGCGTCTTTAGGGAAAAAAATTTAGTGGTTGTGATCGTTTTAGGGCACCACCATGCATTTTATAACCACTTGGGGCAATGAACAGTCTGAAACTTGCTCCCTAGGGTTATATTCAAAATGACGTTCTATGGTCCAACTCGATTGTGAACTGGTTTATGTTGTGTCATGTCCAAAATGGTGTTTGTCGAAGCCAACAAAATAAATAAGCCTAAATCTTGTACACTAAAATAGTGTATAGTGGTAAAGGGATTGTATCCACGGAGATTGGTTCAATTTTATAACTCTATGAAAATCTCTTTGTAAAAATACTTGTAAAATGACAATAAAAGTAAAATGGGAGTTTTGGTCTTTTGAAATACGTGAAATAAAACTAGATTTAAACTAAAATTTAAATAAACAATTCAACAAAAACAAGATTTTGATGTAAAATCAATAATAGAATGATGGTTGACTTAAGGTTTCATCATTTGAACAATTGATGAACATATCATTAGAATCCAATGGTGCAGTACTTGTTTTAAATCTTTAATTTGGCTATAGTAATCCAAAAAGCTTGAGATTACCTAGACTTTTTTTAGTTGTTAAAATAGTTAGAAAAGATCATAACAATTTTTTTAGTCAAAGTCATAATTTCCATTAAGCATGTAATTAGTGAAAGTCAACTAGCATTAAGAACCAAAAAGTCACCAAATCCAAGAGGAGTCAAATGCTTTCACTTCCATGGGGGTGAAAATGTTTATATAATTGTGTTAAGTAAAACCAACACAAGAACCACTTGTTGCTTGCTAATTTGAGGATCTTTTACTTAATCAAGAAATTAGCCAACTAATCACTACAAATACATTTAAACTCATAAATAAAAACATAAAAGTAGTAATAAGATGTTAAAACACAAAACATTCTCATAAAGATTCAAGAACAAGTTCATGGAGTTCTTCAACATTCAACAAACATTCAAATGATTTCACCAAATTCAACTAAGATTAGTTTAGCCTAACATGGTTAAACTCAAGAAAACAAAATAAAGGTTAAAAGTACCCAACATGTAGCAAGAATCAAGAGCAAAATATGATGTTTTTGATATTCTTCAAGTGCTCCAAAAGCTCCCAAAACTCCAGAGAAATCACCAATTTCCAAATGTGCAAAAGTCTCCAAAAGAATCCCACCAAACTTCCTCAAATAAAAGACAAAAGTAAAATCACAAAAATACCCATGCATGAACTCACGCGGGCCGTGTGGTATTCTTAAGCGGGCCGCGTGAACTGGCTGAGAATGGGCCACCTCCATTTGTTGGGTTTGCACTGCCTTAGCCCACTGATCCAATTCTTCTTCATTAGATTGTAGCCCACAAATCTTCAAGTTTTCTTCAGGTTGAGCCCAATTTGTCTTTTCCAAATCCTCCAAAGCCTGAATACTCGATCGATCAATCAATTCCGCAATTTTAAATGTTGTTTTCCATCTTCTTTTAAGATCAATCCCATGTTGATTGCCAATAAAATGGCTCCAAACTAGCCCATATCTTCTTTTGATCTTCTCAAGCCCATGTTTCTTCATCGTCCTCAATGCTCATTTGAATCCCACAATCCTGAACATTTTCGCTCCATGTTAGTCTTTTAAAAATCTGCAATCATACTCAAAGACTAGAAAGAACCCGATTAAAGATAAAAAAATAATAAAAAGAGGAAATATGCACAAATACTAACTAAAATGAGATGATTTATGTTAAAATAAACTAGGAAAAGAAGTAAATACAATGAAACTATCACAACACGTGTTGTTTACTCCAAGTCATAACTGAGTTGGCTTAACTTGCTTATGTGGCGCTTTTAACTGATTAAAAAAAAGTTAAAAGGACTAAATGAACAGGTCACTAAACAGTTTGTTCTCTTAAAATGCATGAAAAAAACTTTAGTGACCGAAAGAAAAAGTCGAAATACGTAGTAGGGTCGTTGTGTCACTTTCCCTTTAATTTACTCATAGTCATTATAGTATCGTTTTCCTCTCTTTTATATCCACAAGGACAATAATTGTCGCTGCCCTTCATCCGCATGAGTGATCTATATACATCCTTAACATTACCATCAGAGGTGCTTCTCTCATCATATCACTAGGTGTCCTTAACAACGACCCTCTCTTGAAGCTTTTTTTCTTGCATCACAATCCTTGATTAATCACCAAAATACGTTCGATTCAACCATTGAATGATCTCAACATTGGGTTTAGATGAAATAAGAAACAAGTAGGAACAATAAGGGGAACTTATTTTCTACAATCATAGTTTTCTGATAAATAATATCCATTGTTTTTTAATTTATGGAGGCCAATATGTCATAAAAAAGTACAGGGGAAGAGGGTCATCAGTGAGCTTATAGTGGGGAAAGTATAAGGGGAGGGGGTGAAGGCTAGAGGGAGTAAGGGTAATTTTTGTCATTTGTTTTTTGTTTCATTGTTTTTCATCCTTTTAATTGGGTGAGACTAAATTTTGAGGAGGTAGTCCCATTACACTTAGTTAACTGTTCGACTTGTCTCATTCCCATCTATGCCAAACACTTACTGAAAAGGCTTTGTTCCATTATATTCGGTTATGTTCCACCCACCAAACATAACCTATATAATCCCGCTCCTTTTTTTTCAAATGAAGAACATTCTGAATCATTGAAAAAAATATATATGGTTAGCCATTCACGGGATGCATCTAGGATTACGCTCCGATGCTCAAATAAATGTTAATGTATTTGGTGAGAAGAATGTCAGAGCAAATCAACAAGTTTCAATCTATAAGCGCTTACCGAGAGTCCGAGACACTGCTTGAGACAAGTATTTATATAGTTTTTGGCACATAAACAATTTGTGTCTTTTAATCTTGCATAAGTACCATATATGAGGTACATTTGATAGGTTGTCCATTGTGCTATCTCGTTAGGTGAGTTGATGAGCAAGATCAGATATTAGCTATAGCAAGGTCCCTTAGTGTTGTAGTTGCATGGTAGAATTTTGAGGGTCATTTCACGGCCAAGCCACGTAGGGTAAGGTCAAGGTGGGAAATTCCAAAGTAGGGTATTCAAATCCAGCAAATTATTTGGATTAGGTGGGTGGGGCTACTACTAATATCTCTCTTTGTGAATTGTGATGCATTTGAGTCCATATATGAACTTGCTCCCATTTCTTTTCAAATGATTAACATTTTGAATCAACAAAAAGTCATCATAGATGGTTTATCTATAATAAATACTACGACTCTAGAAATCCCTAACTCATACATAGAAGAAGTTAAAGGCAAGGAGGAAATTTCTAGGGTTGCAAGTTATGTATCTTGACTTTGCACAACCATATGAGAAATGTTTTAATAGTGCTTCTCAAAGTTGTTGACTTTTTATATAGATCATATTAATTTAGAAACGAAAGGTCGTTCCTTATTTATTTATTAAATTTAATGATTATACACTTAATATGGAGAACTATGCTTGTTTTTCTTTATTTAATCTGAAAATATATAATGGCTTAAACCAAAAAAAATTAAGCTTAATATATTAAGACTTCCATCCTTTACCTATTTGTTTTCCTTTTCTTTTTCCTTGCCACTTGATGACTCGATGAATATAATGAAAGTTGTTTGTTGAAATACAATAATTTAGTTAATTTATTTAGTTTTGGAAAAAAAATGTATATATAAACAATATTTAAATATTAAGTCATTTCATTCATAAACTACTTAAAAAAACACCTCTTAGTTTTGTTTGTAGTTTCCAAGATAACATTACATTTTAAGGTTTTTTTATAGAACTAAAACATAAAAATCATTTTGTAAAAGACCAATTATAAATACTCTCCTATTGTCAACATGATTAACTTCATATATTGTTTTTTTTCAACAAATTCCCATGTTTATATTGTATTTACGTAAGCCAGGATCGTCGGATAAAAAAAATAATATAATATTCCAATATATTATCCACATGCTTTTGAAATGAACAATTCAGAATTCATCATTATTGAATAAAAAAACAACGTTGATAATGTGCTCGCGAGTCCGTATTCCGGCCAACTTACTGTTTTGAAAACATGGCCAGGATTCAGCAAAGGGTCCTCCTACTCCTATTTACACTAAATAAATCGTGGATTGAAATAAAATAAAATAATGCAATAAAGTTGTGGGGCCCAGCATTAATTTATCATTTTATGACCTTGGTGAAATTTCTTGATATGACATAATGGTTGGTTTTCAAATTTATTTATATTCAAGTTTAGCCTTTTAATTTAATTAAGTGTTTCAAAAGAAAACCTAACTTTATAATTTATATTCTAAACTCTAATATCTTTATTGATTTTTTATAAAAAAAATAAGAAATAAAAAATGAACATTAGACTTTATTAACTATACTATTAAAAAAATATAGTAATTGTGTCAAAAATGATACCAAAATTGGATATTGTTGGTGTTTGTTTTATATCTAATAAATTGACAAAATAATTTTGTTGAAATAAAAAAGATCTCTACGATCTAAAATAATACACAACATAAAACGAAACTGAAACGAAATTAGAGTTCGTGTCGTGTCCTCTCACGTATATAAAAAATACGAGGTCGTGTTCGGTTCAAACTTTGATACGAAATTGACATATTATTAACATGTGTTTGTTGTATTTAATTTGTAACATTAATTATGAATTTGTAACACTCGGTTTTGGATTTGCTTCATTATTCGAGGCTGCGGCCCAATCATCAGTTGTCATGAGACTTAGGGCCTTGGGGAAGAAAAAATTTGGCCCTTTTCGGATGTGGGTGTTATGGTTTATGTAATCCAAGTGTTCGAGAGTGCCTTCGGAGGCCAACGGTATTGTGACATCCCCAAAATTCAAGGTCATTTTAAAAAAAAATATTCATGTTTCTTTAAAAATCAGAGTATCCATTTTAAAGAATGTTATTGCGGAATTTGTTCCTAGAAAACATGATAAAGATATTATTGAAAG